TCGTGTCAGAAAGGATCCCGAGGCCTTAAACAACATTTTCTAAACGTTGTTTATCAGGTTTAAGCCCTGCAATTTTCATGTAGCTTCGCTTTATTTAAGCATCTCTCTTATATTTGCAAAAAGGATTTCATCTTTTTTGAGGGCAATATTTGGTTTTGATGGGGCTCTAGTTTGACTTTTATTTAAAAAAAAAAAAAAAAAAAAAGAGAGAGAGATTAGGTGATGAATTTGAAATACTACATTTTCTTTTACAGGTATTAATTTCAGTGGAATTAGGTTCCTTTTTTATTATTATTATTTTTTATTTATTTATTTGATAGGACTAGCTTCACAACTTGATTTCTTTCTCAGGGACCTATTCATTTGACAAGAAACAAGAGCCTGTTAGGTGTTCCCCTGCTTAAACCCCCCAAAGCTGCTGGTGGGTGCAGGAGCCCTTGTCTCCCTACAGCCCTGACGTGCGTTTGCAGCTGCAGTTTGGCCAAAAGGGTGTCTGAAACGTGCTCAGGTCTCATGTTCCGAGCAGGAGCTCTCGTATCCTTGACTGCTCTTTCCCACTTTGTGGTGGGTTTCTTCGGTCTTTCCCTGGAAGTTTTACAGCTGGGGAGGAAAGTAAGTTATAGTAGTAAAAATTGATTGTTGTTTTATGGAGAGGCGTGTGGAAGTGCATCTGATAGTTGTGGTCATGGAAAGACCTTACGGAAGTGCTAGGGAATCTGATGGGTAGAGTGGGAAGAAAAAGACAATGCAGAAAGAAGCTGATCTTTTGCAATAAAGTTGAAAATCTACTTGTTACATTTAGAGGTGTGTAATACAAGATACGTAAGATGCCCACCAGTAAAATTCCATATTTTATTTTACGCGTATTTCCCACATATTTAATTTTGCACACATTTCATTCCCTGCCTTTCCCTGTGCTGTCCCCCGGGTGAGGCTGCCGCGTGCCGCAGCGGTTCTCACGCCGTTAACCTGTGCTCTGAGCATGTTCCATGGTCACCTCCTCCCTCCCATCCACAAGGGAGGCTGTTCCTGGTTGCTGTGGGGGAATTTACTGCCGGGGCTGCTTGTTACCAAGCCTGTCAGTGGTCTCCCATAACACAGCACAGCTCCTCACGTCTGTTTTGTGTTGCAGGACCCCGGGCCGCCGCCGCCATCGCCGCTCATGGGGCTGAAGCCTCTGCAGCTGCTGGAGATCAAGGCCAGGGGCAGGGTTGGGGGGGAAGGCGCAGCTGCTCAACGAGTACGTGGCCGTCAAGATATTCCCCATCCAGGTAGGCAGCAGCCTCAGCAGCCCGCGTTGCCTGCACCGCCAGGGGTTGCCTTTATAAAGGAAATCAAGGAAAACCCGCACCTGGTTCTCGAGAGGTCTTTTTCATTGTAGTGTTATACATTGCTTGTAAAATTAAAACATTGTAATAATTTGCAGTGTGTAAAAGAGCTTTCTGTTTCTATGGTTCGTACCTCTGACAGTTAATGTTGCTTTCAAAAATCAGTTTCCCCCTAAAGAGAGATGTGACATACAAAGAAAGAGAGATTTACTCATATTATTGATCCATTAAGTGATTAGTTTGTAGAACAAATATTGTATTACTCTAAAGATTTATAATTTCAAAATAATCACTCTCACATAGATCCTTCTGATAGTAAATCCTGACTTAACAAAAGCTAGATTCTCATTACATTGGCACACCATTTAGCAACACGCAGAAAGTCACAGGAGGAAATTTCTCTCATGGAAATTACCTTTTGGTTCTTATTATTAAGGTATTAATTTGGTTTCTTTTTTTAGGACAAACAGTCATGGCAGAATGAATATGAAATTTACAGTCTACCCGGGATGAAGCATGACAATATTTTACAGTTCATCGGTGCAGAGAAACGAGGCACCAGCATCGATGTGGATCTCTGGTTGATTACAGCCTTTCATGAAAAGGTTTGTCCACCCCTGGGGGTGCTGGCTTTGCTTCTAAATACACTGCACAACCAGCTGGAGAGTCTGGTGAACTTGAGACCATTCAGAAATAAAATTTAAAATAGTTTTCACTTGTAGCTTTTGTTATTTCACGAGGTATCAGTCTCTTCAGAGTCGGTGTCTTTTTGAGGATCTGCTCCATATAGGTCCCGCTAAATTAAACAAACTTGGAGATTCTTATGTTTTGCTTTTGTTTTACTTGCATTGATTAGTTGATCTGAGTCTTTAAAGAAATATTAGGTATCAATTGCATTGTGATAACCACAATAAAAACATAAATATATTAAGAATGTATTCACTGTTTTACGGTGCAATATTTGTTTAGATCTTTTAATATGTAAATGACAGCGAAGTATAAAGAGGAAAAAAAAATCTATTTGTGTACCAGAGATGATGCTAAAGTCATTCATGGCTGTTGCTAAGACCTGTGGTGTGTAAAGGCATGTAAAGGTCTACCAGAAAGCAGAGCGAGGCAGGCAGGGATGTCGTGTCCTTCAGTCACAGAGCCCAGCTAGAGGCTCTCTTTAGGTGAGTGGAATTTGCCTTGTAACTCTCTTCTTCCCTTTGCCACGCAGGGTTCCCTAACAGACTTCCTCAAGGCAAACGTGGTTTCCTGGAATGAGCTGTGTCACATTGCTCAGACTATGGCCAGGGGCCTGGCTTATCTTCATGAGGATATTCCGGGCCTGAAAGATGGACACAAACCTGCCATCTCGCACAGGTAACGAACATGTCAGGTGTTTCAGGGGATTGTTAGTGCTTGGCTTTGGGCTAAAGGCTGTGGAGAATTCAGAGTTGTTAGTTTTTATGAAATGTCGCAGAATAATCAGGAGCCTAATGAGAAAGATGTGCTCAGCCTAAAGAAAAAACTAGCTAGTTGTTTATGGGAGGTGGCTTGGTGATCGTGGCTGGTGTCATAAATTCCATTTTCGGGTAGTTAATATTTATGTTCCTTATGCTCTGTATGAAATAATTGGTATTTGAGCTGCTCAAAACATCACTCATGTACTAACTTTAAATAACAACGAATACCTTCAGACAGAAGCATTAACTGTAAGTGATGTTTTACCTGTTGTTGAGTATAATTGCTGTTTTTAAGTAAGGAAGGTATAAGAAGGTATTAATGGAGGCAGAGAGCTGAAAAATAGTGGTAAGCAAAGGGAAAGATGGGCACAGAGGAAGGGAAACAGATCCCTCTGATTCTGGAACTTGGGAAGCAAAGAAACTCGAGCCCATGCAGGACACGTGGGACTGTCTGCATGGGCTCCACTGTTGAAGGTGGGCACAGAGAGGAAGGGAAACAGATCCCTCCAAATCTGGGATTTGGGGAGCGAAGAAGCTCGAGCCCATGCAGGACACATGGGACTGTCTGCATGGGCTCCACTGTTGTCTGCTTATGCAGACAACTGTGTATTTCCTTATAAATCATCAAAATTCCTTTTGGAATAGTGTTTTGTTCCCTATTTTAAAAACAAAGCACAGCTGTAATGGAGGAAGTATGCATTAACTACGCTTTTGTGCTATTTCTGTATCATATTTGCTTATAAACCAGTATATATTTGAAAACTAAGTATAGAATGTTAAAGATAAACATTTAGTTGCATAAGAATAAAGGTGTAAAACTATACTTCTATTTTTATTATTATTATTTTGTTGTTTAAATAGACTGTTCATTTATGCTTTTCCTGCCTTTCATATTACTACAATTATACATGATCTCTATTTTGCTTTTTCCTTAGAACTTTGTATAGGATATTTCATGTTCTAGATTTCTAATTTTTTTCCTTAACTTGAAAGGGACATCAAAAGCAAGAATGTGCTGCTGAAAAATAATCTTACAGCTTGTATTGCTGATTTTGGTCTAGCTTTAAAGTTTGAGGCTGGAAAGTCTGCAGGGGATACGCACGGACAGGTAAGGCTGCTTTATTTGTGTGTATGAGGTAACTATTAACTGCATGGCAGGGGAGGCTGATGGGTTAGACTTTCCTCATGGCCTGCATGTCTGTCATCTGCTCCATTTTTGGTGACCTCTAAAGAAGGCAATTTTGGCTTTCACTTCACAGGCTGAAATGAGGCAGTTGTGCAGGTAATAGCAGATGGCAGCTGCTCTGCGTGGCCTCCTCCCTTCTCAATTTCCTTCTTACTGGAGGATTTTGACAAAGAAGAGCAGTCTTGCTGTCTCTTTACTATGGAGTACTACATAGTTTCAAAATCACAAGCTCATTGATCCGTTATGGTTTCTGGAAGATTAAATATATTTGGTTTTAGGCAGACCTTCATAATTTATGGTTAAAGGACAAAAATAAAATCCATACAGTAGAATTACAAAACCTCAGTAATGTTCCTCAAAACGTAACGTAGCTCTTTATGACTTAAATAGCTGAGCAGAGCTTGTTTATACACATTGCCTGCTCATTTGTTCAGCTGCAGGAATTTCACCAATGATTATGGCCAAGATAAACGGACAATCTTAAAGTTTTCATTTAATGTCCAAATTTCTGTAAGAAATTTATTATAACTTTTTCTCAGAATAACTTGGAATGTGGTGACTTGTTTCCCCTTCTTTGCTTTTCCTCTCCTGTCATGTGGAGTCCCCTTAAGTGAAACTGTACATAATCCCTTTCACATTAAAAAATAATTGAGAAACAGTTTTCCTGCAATCTGGAAAAAAAATGAGGAATGGTGGGGACAAGTGTGTTGAATTGTTATGGAAATAAGTCATTTTAAAATACATTCAGATTCTGATAAACATAAGTGGGAATCACAAGTATAGGGCCCAAGCTGTAATAATACTTTTAATTCCTTCAGCTTTTATTGAAAGAATAGCAAACACTTCCAAGATTTATTCCTAAGTAAGACTAATCACGGCTATTTTTAATCTTGGGGGGAAAAAAAACCCTCTTGTGCAGGGTTACAATGTTAGCAACAGCTAGACGAGCGTAATGCGGGCAGTGCAGGTTTTTACGGGATCAGACGCTCCCGCTTCCCTCCTCCCCAGGTGGGCACGCGCCGGTACATGGCTCCGGAGGTGCTGGAAGGCGCCATCAACTTCCAGCGGGACGCGTTCCTGCGCATCGACATGTACGCCATGGGGCTGGTGCTGTGGGAGCTGGCGTCGCGCTGCACGGCCGCCGACGGTAAGAGGGGCCTTCCCGGGAGCCCCCGCGCGGGAGCGGGGCCTCCCCGGGAGA